ACACACTTGTTTTTTAGCTTTCTACACCTTAACACCTCATGTTCATGAAAAGAAGCTCTCTTGAGTCCAGTTTAACACGTCATAAAGAGTTCTACTCAGCCTGTGATATCAGTGTATCATGTCTTCTGTGGCTCTGGAGAGATAATGACGATCTAATCAGGATAATCTCAGATGACGCTCAGAGATTACACATTTCTGACAGAAATAGGGATGTGAAGTTAGGCAGGGAGGGTCTGAGGAAAGACTTACTTACTTGTAAAATCCAGCATTCAATCCATACTAGGGAATAAAAGTCAGGCTATCTCTGCCTCTGCTACTGTTGATTTTCTTTGATTTAAAAAAATAAATAAAAACATTTCTGGAAGACCAACGATAGATCGTTGAGCTTTGATTTCAGGGATTCCCACTTGAAAGAGCCCAGACTTAACACCTTCAAAATATTCCTGCTATTTTTTCTCTTTCTGTTAAACAAGTCAGTTTATACTGAGTTTATCTTCTGTTTCTTGTAGCTGTGTGTACGCTCCATGGCTTCTCTGGAGACCATCGGCCCCCTCATGGCTGGGATGAAGTGTCGGCCCGACATGGCCGGATTGGCTTGTGAAGCTCTTAACCGCATGTTCCAGAAGGAGCAGACTGAACTAGTGGCCCAGGTAAACTTTCACCATTGTTTTGATTTTTTGTTGTTGTTAGATGACCATGTCAAATTAATGATGATATATCTTTTTAATGAACTGAACAGGCTCTAAGAGTAGAGCTGGTTCCCTACCTCCTGAAGCTACTGGAAGGAATCGGACTGGAGACACTAGACAACCCCTCAGCTACAAAGGCACAGATAGTAAAGGCTCTGAAGTCCATGACTCGTAGTCTGCAGTTTGGAGAACAGGTATGAGAGGGAAACATGACCAGCAGGTTCAATTAAAACCATTGAATGATTAGGAGCTTTGTATATTTGCTAATTAAAAAGTGTTAAAATTGACATCATACTGATTATTTGTCTTATTTGACAATCACTGCTTTGCAGGTGAATGAGATTCTAGCGAGGTCCTCAGTGTGGAGTGCCTTTAAAGACCAGAAACATGATCTTTTCATCTCAGAGTCGCAGACCGCAGGCTACCTGACAGGTAAAGTGTTTCTATGAACTTAACCTGCTGTTGAACACTCTACATCACAAAACCCACCATTTTCTTAACAAGAAAAACTGTTTTTTCTGTGAGTGTTTAAAAGGTAAGTCTTGAGTAATTCTCTCTGAGCTGTTGTTGATTCTTAATGCTTTGCTTTATCCTAAAAACCACCATGTGGCTGACTCCTCGCTTAAACCCAGCAACCCTTTCTCTCTCCACGTCCTGTAACCTCCTGGCTCTGCCCTTCCCTTCCTCTTTGTCCTCCACATTTCCTCCTTAGGGGTATCCACTCCTTCTCTCCTGGCCGCCAGCAGCCCACTGCGAGGTGGGCTCTAGACTCCTAAGCTGGGCCCTCGCAGCCCTCCTCTCTCTTGCTCTGGTGCAGGTAGACTTTGACCTGTTGTTTCACCTCACCTCTTTCCCTCCATCTTTGACCCACACTTAATTTTCCATTCCTACTTCTCCATCTTGGCAGTGCTGAAAATAATGTCACAACATCTTCATTACCATCAAACAAATTCTTTATCACACTGCTGTTCAGAAATTAACAAGAAATGCCCTCGAAAGAATGTGATTACTGTCCCGTGTGATGTGATTTGGAAAAGGCCAGGGGATTTCCAGTTTGCTGTGGGAAAGAAAACAAAGCTTGACAAAATTAAAAATGTTGGCAGTATGTAGGCAGCAAAGGAGCAAAACAAAAAGTCAACCAAAATAATAAATGAAATTCACATTTCCATAACTGACCCTCATTAAAGTGTTGAGTTAAAATGATCTCTGATTCTCGATGTTATGTGGTAAAGTGTCATAAAAGGGCATACAAAGTAAGTGTGTTATTTTCGCAGACAATGGCAAAGACCAAAAAGCCTCTGAAATGTGATCAGCTGAATTAAAAACATAATGTGAGATGTGTTGCTTATTGTACTTTTGACTTGTAAGTGCAATGAATCTAAAAGTTTTGTTTGCAGGACAGTGTCCCTTAACAATTTCTGTTTTCCAAAAAATGTAAATCAGATGAGATAAAAGTCCAAACTCTCACCTTCCTCAAAGTCCCCTCTGCAACACACAAACAACTACATAGGAACAATAGAAATCAAAGTAGCTTCATTAGTTAGAAATAGAAAAGTGGAAAAATATTATATATATATATATATATAAGCATAAATCACTCATAGAAATCATTGTACTTCCACCACATCCTTTGACTTGTCCATTTATATAAACACCTATAACACTCTGTATTCAGCAACTTCCAAACTTTTTCATCCATCCTTCAACATTTGTTAAAAGTGTCTAACAACTGGGCCAAAATCACTCCTCCATACATACAGTAGTCTTTTAGTTTAGAACATCATTGTAGCTCACCACTAGAGCTCCAGCTCTCCCGCCCGGTCACACCGGTACTGAATCTCCTCTTTCTTCCTGTCACCTGTAGGTCCAGGAGTAGCTGGTTACCTTACAGCAGGAACTAGCACCACGGTAATGCCCAGCGTCCCACCCCCCGTGGACAACGACATTGGAGACCAAGGCTGACGGACTCACACACACACACACGTCACGCTCAGGCACCCAGACTGCCCTGCAGCTTTCACGGCCGCAGCTCAGAGAAGGGACCGCTCAGCTCCCGGACGAGGGGATGGAGAGAGAGAGGAAGACGGAGGAGACCGTCACCAAATTCTCTGCAACACCTCCAAGATCACTCTCCTCTCCCCTCACAAACAGCACTCAAGTCTTCATAAACACTTTTGAAATTGTTTTAACGGATGACCACATTTGTTTTGTTTCTGTGCTACTTTTCTTGTTTCTTCCAATGACACACAGAAGAGTTTACTTTTTGTATGAATATATTTTGTACTCTAGATTTTGTTTTGTTTTTCATGAGGAAGACATTGGAAGACTGTGGCTTATTATAGGTTAACTGTCTCTTCTCTATTATCTTATTGCTCTTTGTCATATCCTAATTGGCACCACTTAACCCTAAATCACAAACAGAGGGTACTTGGCCTCATTTGTGACACATTTGTGCACAGGACCTATCCACCTTCTACTTAAACATACCATTTACTAGTCTATATAATGGATTCTGATATGAAAAAAAAGTTAAAATAGGAAATCTTGTCTGGTTTGGTCACGTCAATATCAATCCACTCTGTCAAAATTGACACAGATCTTCTCTCCAAATGTTCAGCCTCTTATTCTTCTGATCTTAATTCATTGTTCATTCTGCTCTCTCTTTCTCTCTCTCTCTCTCTTTGAAGGCTATCCTTTCTGCCTCACATTTTTTTTTTAAGTAATTCTCCTTTCCCCCAGAATGCAAAAAGCACTAGAATATTTATAAGTGAATAATAACCACCGGAAATGAGCTTCTGCTAAGACATGACGAATGACTTTGACTCTGATTATGAATCTATGTGAAAGACTAGTGCAATTTGTGAAATGTTCAATGTAATATTACGTATATAAACTTTCTATATTGAATGTACATTAAAAAAAAAAAAATCAGTCGCACTTGTACATAAAATTTTAAGAATAAAAGGGAACCCACAGTGTTGTTCTTTTGTATTTACATTTGTGCCTGTTGAGGTAACAGATTTTAACATTATGAGTTGTTTATGAGCAGGACTCAAATATATTTCACCTTTGCCAAAGAAGAAAATGAATATTGAGTATTTCCTCAAGTTATAACCATTTTTACCTGCAAGTCAAAGACACGACTTCCAAATGTACCATAGAAGACACTAAGATCATGTCTTGTGTGTTTTTTGTGGGAATTTGTAGATTTTAACTTTTAAAACACTGATTCTGGTACTTTTTTAGACTATAGAGTATATTTAAATTTGACCACTTTTAAAGAAAATACCTAAATATATTGACAAATTATTATTATTTCCACACCTGCAGTTTATTCCTCACAGCGTGTCTTGGGACATAATTTTCATGTTTAGAAAACTAAAAATACAAAGTTAGTAATTAACTCAATAAATAAATAACGGTTTTAGAGACTGGTCAAATATTAACCCATGACGTCACTATCCTGGCTTCAGCTGTGCAACTCACATAATTTAACATTTCATATTACAGACTATTAAAGACTAAATTTAGTTTTCAGGTGGTATTACTTATGAACTTGAGCAGATATTATAGGTTTAATGTTGGAGCATGTTAAAATGGTTTTATCAATCTGCTTTTTCCAGGTTTGTGTTGGAAAAAAAAAAATCCCAGATAGTCCTGATAATCCACATAATCCTGCTAAATTCCATCATTTCTTAAATTATAAAGATCTTGTTTCAATGTCAATTTAACCATAAATCTTGAATATTACACAATTTACATATGTAAACTGCTATTTAAATAATGGCTATTATTATTATTATTATTAGTAGTAGTAGTAGTAGTAGTAGTAGTAGTAGTAGTATTGTTAATATAATATAACTACAGTTGGATTATACACATTCATGTGGGATTTCATGCAATATAGTGAAGTTAGTTAAACCCTAA